TTGTGCTATTGCACGTGAATGCTCTGGAACTGCCCTAATCGACTGCAAATGAGCCGGCTACGGTCATATGGAACAGGTCTGTTTAGCCACATCGCTGGGTAGCATGGCAGATGGTAGACCGTCAATGGGTGGTATTGATTGGCTGGATTTGCCTTAGGGTAACAAGACTATGGTCCTTAAAACCCTGCTTCATCTTATTTTCCTTTGTGTAACTACGTACAGTTGTGGTTTACTCTTCTCACTCCCCAAGCCCCCAATATCTCCCTTTTTCTTTTTTCAAATCAAAAGCCTTTCCTGGTAATCAAAATAGAGAGGTTACCTTGAGATAAACACTCTTTAAATTATCACCAAGGCAAGAAAACTCGGGAATATTTTATTTACTAGGCTGATTACATTTTAATGTTTGAAGAAAGTGACATTTTTTAATTAGTGTTTAAGACATATGGTGAGTGTACAAATTAGCTTATTTCATACAACCAGAATTTGATGAGAGCAACTCCTTCTCATTCCCCAGTTAAAAATTGTCACTTGAAACTTAATATATGCGAGGAGGTTAAATGGTATTAAGCAAGGCAGCCTAGACTTAAACATGAAGGAGACAGTCATTATTGTATGTGGCTAAATATTGCCTGGATGGGCTGGAAAAATACTAGTATCGACATTTGTGTTTGCAAGAGGATGTGTAAATTCTAGGGCATTAATTTTGTCCAGCCAAGAAAACAAAATTCCAGGTATCTGTGTGTGTTGGTTTCTCTTTTAGATACGAGAGAACGTAAAATAGTGCATGCATGATCTTTAATAATATCCTCCTTTAAATCAGGCCATATAACAATATAAGGGATGAGATTTATTTATGTCCAGGTGATTCTTTATCTTTGAACATCCACCCTCCATCACTTGGGGCTTTCAGCTTGGGACATTCTATTTATTCCTGGCAGAGGAGCAAATTAATTGGAATAGAATTGTACAAAGGAGATACCAAGTTAGCTACACATCCAAAATAACACAGGACAGAAATGTTCCACGTTGAGGTGGATCTTAGGGAAAAAGAATAGGACTGAGGAGAGATATGATTCATTTGCTCTTGTGGTCATTTATAGCTATTGGTATAATTGTATTTTTAAAAGAGATGCTTAAGATTTTCTTTCTGTTTTTTTTTCCAGTGTCTTTATGTTTAAGCTTTTGGTTATTTCCTATCATAAAAGACCCTATCAAATAACCTCATGCTTTACTCAGAAGAAAAGTTGTACAACCCTTAAACTCTTTCCTCCATCTTGTATGTGATTCATCCATATGCTCACTTTTGATGGGTTTTTATCACGTGAGTCAATATTCTTCTCTTTTTGCTAAAGGAAAATATTTCCAGGGAGTTTTTGGTCCCTCCCCCACGGCCCTGCTCTGTGTTGATTGCATTTTCCTTGTTCATCCTTTGCTGAATGAAACAAAGCATGTTTGTGTTTCATTCTTCACAATTCTTATTAGAATTGGTGATGGTGTTTTGTTTCCTCCCTATAAGTCAGGAGAAGGAATTTTATTTGTTTATTTTGACAAGATACAGAGAGATACAAGACACGATGCCTATCATGTCACACTGTACACCTAAAAGGCGGGGGCAGGGGTGGGGGGGAACACCACGATCCTTTAAGATGGTTCATTTGAATCTGTGCACTCTACCCACCTGGTGGTTATATAGTGAACTGTTACTTTAAAGAGTAGTTTAAACACCAGCCATGTTTGGGGCAGGCTGCTCTTGCAAAGAGAGCAGTACATATAACAGGAGTCTACTGTGTGTGAGATAAGGGGAAAATTCAGCTCACTGACTAGAGGTTTTAATGTGCGAACTCTAGGGAAATAATATATTGACTGTTCCGTGGCGCGCAAGAAAATTGAAGAACCCTTTGCAGACGGAGTGCTTTGCAAAGGATTCTATCTGTTTCTCTTAAAACAAAATCTGTGGCAAGATGTTTGAAATCAGCAGGACGCTTAATGCTGCTTTGTTAAATAATGAGGTAATATTTTGTCACTTTTTTTCTGGGCAGCATCTGTTTCCCTCCCCCCCCCCCCCTGATTTTTTTCCCCCTATGTTTATGAAGGATTCTTTTTTCTTTTTTTTTTTTCCTCTTTTTTCTTTTTCTCTTTCTTTTTTCTTCTCATGGAAGTCAAGGAATACAATTCACGCTTCCCTTTCTGTTCCTTCCTTTTGGTGCTTTTGGAGAATTTGGTTTGTCTTTTTTATTTGCAGTTTCAGCCGGCTGCTGTTTCCTAGCCCATTGTGCCACGTAAGGCTTCTCCACTGCGCGGAGTAGGTAGTTATTAACGCTGAATTGGCTTCTGGTACAGTCCATCTGGACTCTGTGTGGGAAAGCTGGCTGCCGGCGACTGATGCTGACATATCTGCAACCTTTGGGATGTGTGCATGGTGGCAAGGGGCTGACTGATATGAGATTACTTCTTTTAAGGGAAATTGTTATTAATGAGTCAAGAAACTGCTCATTTATGGTAAGAGGGATACAGCGGCACTGGCAGCCCCACAGCTCTGGGATATCATTTTTAGGTTGCCTTAGCTGCCTGAGTGAGACAAGTTTCTTTCTGTGGTGGTGGAGGATTGTGGCAGAAAAAAAAATCATGCATGACTGGGAGACTCGCCTGCCTGATTCTTGAGATAATATATTGAGAATCTGTTGCTTTACAAATGTCACACCACTGATGGAGCGGTCAGCCCCTCACTCTGAAAGATGAATGGTACTATTGGAAATGCAATAATAAGGTTGACTTTTCCCAACAATAGGATTCTGCCTTTGTCTTTAGAGAAAAGGCCTCTGAGGACATTTGTGCATTTGTTTGAGGATTCCGTTGAAAGACTTTAGAGTGGAGGTTTTTTGGAGAAGTAATCAATATACAAAGTGCATGGATTTTTTTAGCCTAGCACAACCAGCTAATTATTTATATTGTAATATACAGTTCCTGTTTCAGAAAAGTGGCCAGAACATCTTTTGATATACCTACTGTTGATTGATACCTAAGTGTGCTGAGATTAGTAAGGAAGGGAGAGAATGCTTTTAAGACATTCTGACTCTTATAACCTCCAGAGAGATACAAAGTAAAGATTTTGTTCTGGAGCGGAGCTGTTTTCATTTGTGTTTTTCAGCATTGTGTTCATGGTTTTCTTTTCACAATATTTTGATATTGATAGGATTCATTCAGAGTTTCTGTTGTTGATTTGGGGCACCTGTACCTTCCCTGTGTCTGTATGCTGAGCTCTTTAGAACACTTAACCTATGAATTCGTCCCTAGAACACAGTTCAACAGATACTATAGTACTGTTGTGACTTGTAGGACTCTGTATATTTGCTGGAGAAATTATTTTAAAAGTTTACTTAGACCAGTATTGTTTCACCATAACTATTGTTACCATTTTAACATTTCTACTTTTCTCTTTCATGTATTTTTATTTCGAACAGCTGAATGTATCATAGAGTGTACCCAGCACATACCGTTTTGTGATGTATCTGTATTTTTAAAAGTGTGAATATGTACATTTGTGTGTGTGTGTGTGTTCATGAAATAGTAGCTGGGAAAAAACAGTTTTAATTTTTTTTAATATAAAGGTCATTTTCTTTTCTAACAATTTTTCATGGGCCCGTCTTTTCTTGGACTTTGAAGCCCAGAGTGTAGCATGATTTTCGGCCTCTATTTCTATTCTGCCCAGTCCCGTCTTGCTGTCAACTACAGCCAAAGATTTAAAATAATGTTGAATTATTTCCTTAGTAATACTTGTTACCTCTGTGTATTCATTGAGGAACAAATTGACTAAATTGTGAATTAAATAAATAGCAGTAATTTAGCCTTTTGGATAGAAGTAAAGCAGAAACTCTTCAGGTAAGCCACTTTAAAACCCAAACCAGAACAAATTACTATCCTATTGGAAGACTGGTGTCGCAGAGGTTATGACATGTGTAACATGGGCAGACAAACTGTATACATCACCACACACTTGCTAAATAGCTCTTTGCAAGTCTTTCAAGGGGCCAAAGATAAAAGACATCTTTTGAAGGAGAGAAGCAAAATCACGTGTTCAGTTAAGCAAGATGAGCCCTCTGCACCGGTTATGAAATGATGCTGTTGTCAAAAGCATGTTTTACCATTCTCTATAGCAGTAGTGAAAGCAGAGAAGATGTGTTTTAGTGGATTTTTAAAAATTCAGATCATGCCTCTATCCAAGTTGAGAAATATATTCATTTAAATAAATCATTCATCATTCTCTGTTTTGAAAAGCTCAGACAGAAGGCAGAAAGGTAGAGGCTGACAGCTTTTCCCCTCCCCCCCCCCCAGCTTTTTTCTTTTTTTTATTAGGAAGTAGTTTTCTGAAGCAAACTTGTATGAACCCAGTTCACAGAACAAGCAGTCTCAAACTTGCCTTCTCTTGAAACCCTGGCCATGTTAGCTGCACAAGGAGCATTACTTACTGAAAATCAGCAATATTAGGAAATAATAAAGTTAAAATGTGGATGTATTAGCACATTAAAGTGCTTTTGTTGTATCTTTAAGCCTAGAGGCAGATCATTAAATATGCATTTCGCTAGAAAGCAACTGTCCAGAAAGATAAGGTGGTTGAAAATATTCCATACTGGAAAAGCCCTCTGTCAAAGGGGTTTGATGGTGCAGCCCTCAGGACAGGGGAAAGGGAGGACACTCCCACTATTAAGGTTTGCAAGCGGCGGGTGACCTGCAGTTGTTACAGTACTTTTGAGCTGGGAGGAGAGAAAAGGTAAAAATACAAGTATGGCTGTTGTTGCTTCTGCCTGGCCTTAATTACCAGACACAAGAAGCAGTTCAGAAATCTGGTCTCTGTTGTTGTAGAGGTCACCAAATCATTAACATCGTCAATCTGGCAGTAGCTAATTTAAATAGCACCTGATGTTGCAACGCCTCCCTTCCTTTCCCCAGCCAATCAGATCCTGGCTTCGGCTGACAGATGGTCCCATAAATGGATGTAAAAAGGGGAAGCTTCGAGCCAATTTCAGCAAGGCTCTGTTCAGTTGTTCTTATCTACATCCTAGAATCGGGGGTTTCAGCTCACTGCTCCTTTTCTTTCTTTTTTTTTTTTCTTTCTCTCCCCCCATCCCCTCCCCCCAAATAATTGATTTACTTTACAATCATCCACACTGTGTTTTGTGGATCTTTAAATATATATAACAATAGTAGTCATTTAAAAAATACATTCTGAAACCTTTGCAAATTTTAAGAGAAGAGTCGAAGCTCTGCGAGACCCAATATTTGCCAATAAGAATGGTTATGGTAGGTATGACTAGATTTATAATCTGTTGTTTGTGTTGCTGGAGGGAAGAAAAACATCTACACCTTGACCAGTCTTATGCTTGCACAAGAGTTTAGTTCTCTGCTGCTGTTTGGTTCCTACATTTACTATCTCTTTTGTGTAGAGAGTGCCGGTAGGTCCTTTTATTGAAAAGCAGTGGGGAAATAGATTGTCATTTTTAACAGGTCATTGTCAATTTTCCCTTCAACATAAAGGAGGGGGGTGATGTAGAGGGGAGGTGGGCCGAAATAATTGCTGATTTTTTGAAAGAGATTATATTACATGAGACCATATTGGCAAAAAAAAAAAGGGGGTTTTGTTCTGTGTTTTTTTGTGAGGGAGAGGGGATTTGTCTATGTGCCTGGGTTTTGTGGGGCTGGAGGGGATGTAGCGGGGTTAGGAATCTCCATTTCCGTGCTGGAAATTTAAAGCTCGAGAGGCAGTTCCTGGATACTGAACGTTGAGATGGGCAGTTGTGTTTCGGGGGACTGCGCAGTCAAAACGGCAAAGAGAGTGATTTATTTGGGCTTCAGTAAATGCTGCATCTTGTATTTCAAAGAGTTTCCTGTCATGACCTCATAAAAAAGAGGAGGCGGCTTGTATGTGTAGCGGTGCCTGGCGTGTTGAGTTGTTGCTTCCTTCTCTGGGCAGCAGCTCTGTAAGAAGGAATGTCAGCTTTTACATAACGTTCCTTTCCGCTTTTGACACACTGTGTGAGGGTCCATCTTCTTCTGATCACAGATGGAGTGGAATGGCTTGAAGATGGTAAGTGAAAATTCAGAGGAAGGCAGCTTGGAGATTCCAGCCGTGTGTGTGTGTGTGTGTGTGTGTGTGTGTGTGTGTGTGTGTAAGGATGATGGACTGTGCATCGTAAATCACTGTGCAGATCGTGTGTGTGTCTGTGTGTGTGTTTATTAGTATTTCTCTTTTCTGAAACCCAGCATCCATCTCCAAGTGTAATGGCACTGCATGCACACAAGGCACACACACTGCCTCTTCCATCGAACACACATTTAGCCAAGCGAGGCTGGTGTCTTTTTTGACAATCACAATGTCACCGTAGCTGTTGGCTGGCGTGTCCACCGCCTCTGTGAGCTTTCAACAGAATTACATGACTGTTAAAGTTAAAGGCACATTTCTTTTTCAGTCTCCTGCTAGGAGTGATGGGGAAGGCTGGGTACGAGGGGTGGAGGAGGTGAGGTTCAGTACCAGCAGATGCAATTGTGAAGCAGGACTTTTGGATGTGGAAAGGGAAGTGGAAAACCATTCTGCCAAAGTAGTAAATCTATTTTTAGCATCATCTTTTTCGGGAAAAAAAGAAGCAGGGAAACTCCTTGAGTGCCGCTCCTGTCGCCTGATGTTGACCCTGAAGATATGGCACAAAATGGCACAATCAAATGCCACGAGTGCCCACTTTGACTTTGAATTTCACCAGCAATAGCTTTCACAGGGTTTCAAAGCCGGGTATGTGGGGAGGCTGTAAATTCATATCTATCTCACTTATTTTTTGCTAGAAAAGCCTGGGGAGGACTTTTCGCTCTGCATAGATGTTATAACAAAGCTGTGGTCTTTTTCCCATTCTTAGAGGATTGCCTTTGTCTGGCTGCTTGTTTTGATGGGTGTAAAACAAATAAGATTAGACCGAGCAGCCCAACTGAAAGCGATAGCTGGGAGGAAAACCCAATGAAAGGTTGCCGGGGAAACGAACAGAGGAAAAGCCGAGTAGGGAGCAGGTGGCTATCATGAGAACACACTGCAAACAGTGTAAAAAAGGGGGGGAGGACAGGACCTCGATTATCTTTGCTGTTCTTTGTGGCCGGCCCAACTTTAATTATTCTTTATAAATAGGTGTTAATTACATTTCTAACTCTGGTTTACAGTGATTTTTAGAAATCTATTTTTAAGCATCTGTTCTGTCTCTCCTGTTTTTTTTTTTTTTTTTTTTTTTTTTTGGTTTAAAAAATAGAGAGGGAGAGAGAAGAAGAAGAAGAGGGGGGAAGGGAGGGAAGGGAATCTTGCTTTTTTTTTTTCCTCTCTCTCTCTTTACCCCTTTCCCCTGCTGTGAAATTGTACGTGCGAAAAATCGCAAGGAATCCTGTGAGGCCATTTGAAAAAAATGTAAATTATATTGAATGAAGTTGACGGAAGCATAATAGTGAACTCCCACAGCTGATAGGTTCTGCAAATGATTTCTTAGAAATTTCCAGCAAATATCCATTGGAGAAATATAGGTAGTATAGATTTACCCTAAAGCAATGATTTTGTGCTAGCTGATATTGGTGTTTTTACTAAATCAGATGTTGATACTACAATTCCAGGGAGTTCATTGTATCTTTCATTTTATATCCCGAGTAGAAATTACTTTTAAAAATAATCAATGAAAAGCTGCATTCTAGCCTCTTGCTTCGTTTACCTCTCCATACCTCCAACCACAAGGTCCATCAGGTGTACCCTTGCAACCACTGCAGTGCATTTGGTCCTGGGTCTAGTCTTGGCATAAACTGAGCGAAAAGCTGATTTTTTTTTTAGAGTCTCTGAACGTCTAGGACCCGTGCGTGCCCTGGGTGACAGGCATCTCTCCCTTTTCCTCTGAGTGTGCTTTACTAGTAGTCTCTTTTTCTCATGATGGTGGGTACCAGAAGGACTGAAAGGTATAGTGCTTAGGCAAACAGGAGGTTGCATAAAAACCATGATCTGTTCTGGTTTCTTCCAAATTAGATACACGATCAGGTAGCTAATATTAAGCCCAAAATGAGAGATTAAAAAATACTGAAATACGTTAAAAGGTTCGGAAATGTAATTGGCTTTACTGAAAGTGCTCTTAATTTTTACTCTCTCCATTGCAAATCTCTGCACTCACCCCCCCCCCCCCCCCCTTTCTTTTTACCTTGCAAGAAGCTTCTTTTTGTTTTGTCTTCTTATTGGGGGATTTTTTTTTATTTGTTTTGACTCTTGAAGTAAAAATAAATAAACTTATTTTTGTCATATGTCATATACTTGAACCTTTGCTCTCTGTCTTGAGCATATGTCTCTCTTAAAAATTAGAATAGTTTTTTTTTATTATCTCTAACATATTTTTTTCTGAGGAATTTCTAGCATATTTTCCTTAGGGCAAAACCATTTCCATAGAACTAGCACTTTGTCTTGGGTTGTAAAAAAAGACACGTGGTTCCACTGCTGACCTTTCTTGCTTCTTTGTCTTAAAAACATTAATGCCTACTACCTGCACGAGGAGGTGTGCCTTTATGGAAGCACTAGGCTAAGAGTGCATTTATTGAGAAATGAAAATCTGATCGGATATATTTCTGCAAAAAATACCTGACTACATCCCAGGCTTAATGGTCAGAATTTCTGTATACCTCATTGTAACATATTGGCTAAATCGTTTAATATTCAAATTTTTAAAAGGATAGAATGAACATAGATAGGGAAGTAGCTGAGAAACTGCTTTGAGAATCATTGACTTATAAGATAATTTTAATATCTCAGAAAAAAAGCCTAACAGACAACTTGAGCACTCATTTTTGTAATCTCAGTTCCGCTCATTTCTAACTGCCATTCATTCAAGTCGTCCTCCTGGCCAGATATAGATGAGCTTGCTTCTGTTTGATAGTTTTCCAAAGCCTTCAAACTTTTTTCTCTCCCGATAGCTCTTCCTTGGTCCTTTGAACACTCAAGGATTTTGTTGTGAGGGGAAGGCCAGATTGTTATGAGCTAATAACGATCGAATATTTGTTTTAAAGAAAGAGAAAGAAAATGAGCTACGTGTTTGCATTTTAGTTCTTAACTCAGTCTTGAAAAAGGGTCTGAGACGTGATAGACTTCAGGTATTCTAAACTTAGCATTTCTGTTGGGGATAATCTATTTGACATTTCAAATCTAGAAATCATTGCCTGAATAGTGCTTTGTGTGTGTATTCAGGGTCTCTAGAAGAATTTGTGGGTAAATCAAGGTGTTTTTCTCAAGAATTACCATGAACAATGAAAGGGTTTCCGTCAGGGCAAGTCCTTTCTTTGGTTTGATTTCTTCCCTTTGCACTTATTTCCTTATTGTGGGTGGAATCTTTTCCTATATGTAGACCAAATACTATTCCTTCCATGAGGATATACGCTGCTTCAATTAGCCCTTGGCATCTTAATGCCTTATTTTAATTTAAAAAAGAAAAAAGAAAACAAACAAATTGTGTGTACCACAAATAAGGAATGGCGGTCTTGATAGAGGTCATTGTATGTGAACAGAAGTACTTTGGCCTTGACAAATTTCTTCATCAGTTCCAATGATCTGTGGCCACCAGGCACTTAATTTATATGTCTGGACACTTAATATGTACATTTGTTGGTGAGCTGGCCAGCGGATGCTAGACACATGAGTGTGCGCTGGCAAATGCTGCAATGCAGTATTTTTTCCCAATGTCATTGGGAATTTGGGGGATATGAAGGGACATAAACATTCTCAAGCTTTTATCTTACCATCTTCCAGTAGATGGACCATGTTGCACAGAATTGGCCAATTCTCCTTTTGAAAGTGAAGTCAACCTTTTATTGCCCACTGTTCGTTCTTCCATGCGTTTGATAGATATGTGGAAATTATGTGTATGTGACAGAGGGAGACTCTATGTGTGTATGTGTGTGTGTGTGTGTGTATCTGTGTAAGCATGTGTGTGTGTTTCTGGAATCCTGCACCTGTCTTAGGTTTTCCTTATTTGGTATTACCAAATGTGTATACATACTTGCAAGTATATGTGCATCTAAAAATGGAAAGAAAACCAAACTGGGCTGGCTTCCCATAGGAAGTGGCTTCTCCTCCTCACAGACTCCAAGAGTTTTCTTATTAGAAGAAATATAAAACTCAATCAAAAAAGATATATCCGGACCCTGCAGACTTCCATTCGTAACCAAACACCTGTCTTTAGTTGCCACTTGAGAAACTATAAATGTGCAAATCCCTAACAGCGTTTGTGACCTAGAAGCTGCTCTTTCAA